GGTGGGGTTCAAGAATTTACATTTCTCTAAGTTCCCAGGAGATTGTGATGCTGCTGATGTGGGGACTATACTTAGAGACCATGAATCTTACCTCTGCCTGGCTCTCCTCCTCATCTGCCCCCCCCCACCCTTGCCCTGGAGCTCCAAAAACTCCCCCCCTCTAATCATGCAGGACTCTCCTGCTGTCTACCTGCAAATTCCCTTCCCAGATGGGTCCCGGGCCTTCCGACGAATAGCATTCAGCCGTGTTAGAGGGCAAGTGTGATTTTAAATATATACTAAGTAATTTCGTTTGTTTCGGAGGGACCGTTCCCCCATCTACACAAAGCCGTGCTTCTCTGCCTGGGGTCTGGGGCTAATCAGCAGCAAGTTCAGGGGCGGGGGTGGGGGTGGTAGTGGAGGTTGGGCCGCAGCTGTGGCTCCAAATTGCTCTGAGCCCCACTGCCTGGTCCCCGCTCCAGCAGGAACTGACATCAAACAAATGGGCTCTGATGCATTAAGTGGGGAGGTGGGGGGGCTGAAATGGCCCTCCCCTACCTTCCTCCACCTAATACGGTTTTGAGCAGTCGTGGCTGCCTTGATGAGAGCTGCCATAATGAATTCCCAGATTCCATCCCTTTGGGGGCAGCTGGCCAAGATGGGGTAGAGCCTTCACTCTTAATGAAGATGGGAAGATGACTGGTCCCCTCCCACTGGGTCGGATAATCCAGCTCCGGGCTGGAGATTAGCATTTCTAATGGGCTGGGAGGCACAGCCTCCAGGAGACAGGGATGAGGGATGACAGATATTCTGGGAATCCCTTGGGCCCGGAGGGGAGACGGCCGCTTTGTTTGGCCCCAGCTGAATTGAGGTTGGCTTTCTTCAAATAAGACCCTCTCCATTTCTGTCACCTTGAGTCAGGGGGCTCCTGCTCCAAAACCGGCCAGTGGACTGCCCCCTTCCCCCAAAATGTCATGTCCGAGTCCAGTATCCAAACATCCCGTCTCCAAAGAGGATGACACCGGTCTGGAACTCACCTGGCCACTTCTTTCAAAGGAACAGCTGTCTTCATCGTTCGTCCGTTCACTCATTCATTCACATTCGTTCATTTTGTCCGTGCTGGGTGCCAGGCACTGGCCTCTGGATGCACAGATGACAAAACCTCTCAAACTCAGGATGTTCACAATGTAGTGGAAGAGACAATACGTGTATGCAGACCCTCTGGGAGAGATATAAAATAGGTGTTCTGGGGGCAGAGCGAGGAGGTCTCAACCAGACTGGCAGCCGCACGTGTGTGTGTGAGTGTGTGTGCGCGCGCGCGCGCGCGCGCGCGCGCATTCGGGCTACGTTGGATAGCGGGAAGACTTCCTGAGGCAGTGCTACCTGGGTTGATTGTTAAAGATGTGTGACCCAGCACAGAGGCCACTGCCTGCCTTCAAGGAGCCCGGGAGGGAGAGATGATCTATACGGAGAAAGGAGATTGGCGGGGTTTGGAAGAGGAGGGAGGAAAGAGCCTGGAATCAGGAGTTGCAAGGGCCCGTTGTGAGCATTACTTCAGTGATTACGAATTATCCAGAAGAAGGGGCATGTGGAAGGTCGGGAGGAGGATGTATCAAACAGACTCACCTTTGGGCCATCATTCATTTGTTGAACCCACATTTATTGAGCCCTTTGTCCTGGATGCTATGACATTGAATTTTTTTTAAAGTAAACTCTAGTCCCAATGTTGGGCTCGAACTCACGACTCTGAGGTCAAGAGCCTCATGCTCTACCAACTGAGCCAGCCAGATGCCTCTATAACATTGCTTTGCTTACTTGACTGTCTCTTACGATAGTCTGAGCTTCTCGAGGACCCGAATTCTATCCTACTTACCTTACAGCATTAATTGGCACAGAGTTATTAATAGTTGCTTTTGAGTGGACTCGAATTACCAAAGCAGGGAAGTGTGAGAAACCATCGTATGTTGGGGGAGCAGGAAAGAGATTGAAATGGCCAGAAATTGGGACATACATGGAAGAGTGGTGAAAAATGAGGCTGCAGAAGGAAGGGTCAGATCACAAAAGGTCTAACATGCCAAACCAAGGCGTTAATATTCTATCCCCTTATAGGGGCACCTGGGTGGCTCAGTCTGTTAAACATCTGACTTTGGCTCAGGTCATGATCTCACAGTTTGTGGGTTTGAGCCCCTTGTCAGGCTTTGTGCTGACTGCTCAGAGCTGGAGCCTGCTTTGGATTCTGTATCTCCCTTTCTGTGCCCCTCCCCCGCTCATGCTGTCACTCTCTGTCTCTTAAAAAAATGAACAAACATTTAAAAAAATTTTAAAAGATGGGAATGCAAGCTGGTGCAGCCACTCTGGAAAACAGTATAGAGGTTCCTCAAAAAACTAAAAATAGAACGGCCTTACGACCCAGCAATTGCACTACAAGGCATTTATCCATGGGATACAGGTGTGCTGTTTCGAAGGGACACATGCACCCCAATGTTTATAGCAGCACTATCGACAACAGCCAAAGTATGGAAAGAGCCCAAATGTCCATCGATGGATGAATAGATAAAGAAGATGTGGTATATATATATATATATATATATATATATATATATATATAAAATGGAGTATTACTCGGCAATCAGAAAGAATGAAATCTTGCCATTTGCAACCATGTGGATGGAACTGGAGGGTATTATGCTAAGTGAAATTAGTCAGAGAAAGACAAATATCATATGACTTCACTCATATGAGGACTTTAAGAGACAAAACAGATGAACATAAGGGAAGGGAAACAAAAATCATATAAAAACAGGGAGAGGGACAAAACACAAGAGACTCTTAAATATGGCGAACAAACAGAGGGTTACTGGAGGGGTTGTGGGAGGGGGGATGGGCTAAATGGGGAAGGGGCATTATGGAATCTACTCCTGAAATCATTGTTGCACTAGATGCTAACTAATTTGGATGTAAAATTTAAAAAACAAAAGAATAAAATTAAAAAAAAGAAATAAAGACCTGAAGAAGTTTAAAAAAATAAAATTCATTAAGTGTTTAAAAAAATTTTTTTTAAAGATTCTATCCCATTGTAACAGACTGAAGGTATTGTAGCCTACTTGAAGATTTTAAGAAAGAAGTGACGTGATCAGATTTGTATTTTAGAAGATCCCTTGGGCTGTAGTTTCAAGCAGGGAGGAGGTAACAGGAGTGTCAAGGACACTGTCGATTCAAGATGAGGCTTGGACTACTGGTGGGATGGTACACATGGACATGAGGGGCACATTTCAGAGACGGCTTGTGAAATTGAGAGCAATGACGAAGGTTCTTTCTCGTATTCCAAGGAGTGAACAGGGAGGTTCAGGAGGAGCAAGACCCGGAATCCGCTCTTATTTTATTCATTCCCCTGCGAGTGTTTTCACTCTTCCTTCCTCCCTCCCTCCCTTCCTTCCTTCCTCCTTTCCGTCCTTCCTTTCTCTCCAGCTACTTTCAGGGAAGTGCTTTTTTTGCATGATCCTGATTCACTGCACTCTCCCCCTTTCGCTGTCCTCTCTCCACAAAAACAGCTCCCCACCCTCCTTGGCTCTTCTCTCCCAGAGTTCTGTGGCTCAAGTTATGCAAATTGTTGTGTTGATCCTCAGATCAACTTCCTAGGTGTTCAAAAACGTTTTGGTGCTGATGTAGCTGGATTTCAGGGACGAGACAAGCTCGGGGTCTCCATGCTGCTCCGCCATCTTTGCAAATAATCAGCCCTCATTTTAATCTAATGAGACAATAGCCCCTCAAGTCACCGTCTGTTCTGAGGACTGGTGAAAGGAGAGTAAACACAGGTGGGATGGAGAGTTACTTGGTTGTTCTTTATCCAGGGGAGCTGGACTTGTAAACCATCAGTTATCTTTCTACACGACCAGAACCACCTCCCAGCCCTGCCCACTCTCTAGCCGCCACCCCACCCCAAGGAGAGGGAGTTCCAATGTCTGGGGGGTCCCATGCCTGGGTGATGGGCAGAGGGCCACTCCTCACTGAGAATTAGCACAACTCCCGGCCGGAGAATCAAGAAAGGGGGCGTAGCTGTTGAGTAGTGCCCCTTGACCAACACAGCCCTCTCTGCTTCTTTCCCTCCCCATTTGCTTGTTGATTGAGGTTCCTCTGAGTCTACTGAGGTTTTTGGTTTGTTGTAGGCAGTATTATTCATTATTTCAACAATAGTAAATATGCTGGTATTCTCCCATCTAAGGGCAGAGGTACAGAAAGCTTCACTGCTCCCCTTCTCCCAGCATCCCCAATATGGTACTTCTTTTTTTATTTAAAATTTTTAAGTCTATCTTTTATTTTGAGAGAGAAAGAGAGAGAGAGAGAGAGAGAGAGAATCCCAAGCAGGCTCTGTGCTGTCAGCACAGAGCCCCATGTGTGGCTCGATCTCGTGAACCGTGAGATCATGACCTGAGCCGAAATCAGGAGTCTGGAGCTTAAACGACTCAGCCGCCCAGGCACCCCCACAACGTGGCACTTCTTTCTTTTTTTAATTTTTATTTATTTTTGAGAGAGAGAGAGACAGACAGAGTGTGAATGGGGGAGGGGCAGAGAGAGAGAGAGGGAGACGCAGAATCCGGAGCAGGTTCCAGGCTCTGAGCTGTCACCACAGAGCCCGACGCCGGGCTTGAACCCACAAACTGTGAGATCGTGACCTCAGCCGAAGTCGGACGCTCAACCGACTGAACCACCCAGGTGCCCCCTTTATTCCAACATGGCTCTTTTTAAATGGTGCGTAAGCACACTACAGTCGTATTGAACCAGGGTATCTCCACGGCTGTACGCATCGCCACATGAGTCACTGTATATTTAAAGCTCAAATTGTGCCAACAAGTCTTCCAGGGTAAGGCCAACTTCAAGATGGGGGCTGGTGTAGCAGATTCCCTAAGTGCGTGCTGTCTGGTGTCCGTGGAAAACCCTTTTGATTCACTCTGTTGTTAATGCCGACACCCCTCTCCCTCTTTCCATTAAGTGTAGAAAATGAACAAATCGTCTGGCCAGAGTCCATTTTGAACAACTTTTATTATACGTTTAGTGTTCTCTATACAAAAGAAATCAGTTGTTTTTTTTTTTACAGTGATTCAAAAAAAAATTCTGAATAATTTGGCCTTTTCATTGCTCATGCAGTCAGTTTATAAGTCCACGTATTAGATGGTCCTCCACGGCCCGGAAGTCTTCCCTGCTGAAGGTCACGCGTGACACCCTCAGATTCGCATCTGTCGCTGACAATGTTGGTTAATGCAAAATAACTCGCAAAAAGGAAAGAACATGATGTGAGAGGGGTTAAAACAAGGTCTGCCATGGAGAGTTAAATATTTAACCAATGGAAAAAAGATCAGGTGTGCGGGTACGCGGGAAGGCATGGAATTGTTGGGAAAATATATGCCCACCGAAAGGAACAACTTGGAATGGTTGTGGGAGGGGGCGTGTGCTGGGAGAGGCGGGGCAAAAGGTCCTCTGGGGCCAGCGTGGGTTGGGGGGGAGGGCAGGACCAGGACAGAAGGCGGCCACGTCACAGGCGACTGATGCTCAGCTCAGGAGGAGTGTGAGTTGGCAAAGAGCTGGGAGCTGGGCAGAGGGACAACACTGACTGAGGACGTCGAATTTGAAGATCAGAACAAAAGAACAGGGGCAGGGCCATCCAATCGGCATCGTTTTTGAAAAAGAAACAGAGTAGGGCACAAAAGTCTGGATTTCTTCTCCCAGATTTTTGTGTTTATTGCTTCACTGAAGTCTTTATATGTGCTGAACTCCGGCCCAGCGGATCCCTCAGCACCCCGTGGCCGAGAGCCCGGCGGAGAGAGTGCCCGAGGGACACAGGATGCTGCGGGCCCCAAGTGTCCTGAAACAAGAGATAACCACTCTAGAGTACAGTCTAGACTTCACAGTGACAAACGCCAGTCAGCTCGTCACTCTCTCCTGGCCTGGGTCGGGCCTTAACGGCGCAGCTGGCTTCACCGCAGGCTGCCACAGACTGACTGATCTTGGCCTCAGAAAAACCCTTTGTGTCTTTCATTTTGGGAGGCGTACGGGCAACGCAGAAGTGATAAGAGGTACGGAGAGCGAACCAGCGGGAAGGATGTTAAGTTACACCTCTATTTCCAAGGAGGCAGCTGCGGTGAGATGAAGGAACCCTGGACAAGGAGTCAGAAGGCCTGAGTTCAAGCCCTACCCTCACCCTGATTTACCAGCCATGTGACCTTGGGCCAGCGCCTTCCCATCCCTGGATTTTAGTGTCCTTGTCTGTACAATGAGTCATTTCCATTAGATCAGCTCTGTGATTCCTTTGCATGCTGAAATCTGAAGCTACCAAAACTACTCACCTTGGGACCTACTTCGTTGCCACCCTCATCATTCCAGAACTTCTATTTAATGCTAACATGTTGATAGAGGTGCGCTGATTTGGGGTGTGGCTTGAGACACTGTCTGGTGGGGTCTTGTGGCTTCCCTGCATGGTTGTCCTTTCCTGCTGATCCTTCTCTGAACCTGTCTCAGGAAGGCTGTTCTCAACAAGGGGGAGAAGGAAGTGTGCTGGCCTGGCTTGGGCTGAACGGGCCAGCGACAGCTGGAAGGTTGGTCTAAACTCCCATGGGATGGACCCTGCCTGGTGTAAGGGATGGGGCTGCCCAGGAGGTCGGCTCTGCCTAGGGCACGCACGGTCTACTCCTGACATTTCAAGGTTTTTCATTCATTCATTTGACTCCTCTGATTTTTTTTTTTTTTTGAAATCAGGGACCTCCCTACATGCTTCTCCTAAGCCACCATGCAACGCTCCACCAGGATCCTCCAGGTGATTTCTTCCTAGCAGAGCTGTGTGTGTTCGGCAGGGGCTGCAGGAGTGGTGAGCACAAGGTGTCACCAAGGGGGAGCAGGCCCTGTGCCAGCCTCCAGTGCCCTCCCACCGAGAAGTGACTCTCTGGCACCGGCCCTGCTGACCGAGAGCCTGGGGAGCCCCACCTCTTCTGTGTTAGTCAAGCAGCCTTGCAAAGACTGAGGCAAAGTGTTCCACTGCTTCCGTCCTGTGGGCTGTTTGTGACTCTCTGTGGCTTGGATCTGGTCCTGCAAGGGGCTCCAGGAGCCTTAAAGAGCCGCTGCCCATACTGCTTCTGGGGAAGGTGCCCTCTCCTTTGGGTCAGACCCCTTCTCAATTCCGCCTGCAGGAGTCACCCAAACGGGGTCCAACCTGGGCGGCCCCCCTCCCCCTGCCCTGAGCGTCGATCGTACCCACACTTCACATCTCATCTCAAGCGGGCCAGGGTGTGAACTCACGCTAAGGCAATGTCATAATCCATAGCGTTCCCTCTGAAAGTGCCACCTTGCTCTGTGCGCGCGCCAGGCGTGGGCATGCCCGGGCGTGGCTGCTGGGTGTGCGCAGGGCAGGCGGTCCCCTCAGCTGGACCATCCACAAAAAGACTCAGATCTGTTTCCGGCCCTTTTCTCAGGCTGTGTTCAGGGCGACTACGAAAGCCGTATCCGGCCCAGGTTGCAGATACCCCTTGCAGGGTGAACGGTGTTGGCACTGGCTGCTTCTTGGACAGGTGGACACTTCTCCAGACGTTGGGACTTGCCAGGAGGGGGGTGGACCAGATGCCTCCAACCTCCCAGGGCAAAGACAAATGGAACGGGAAAGAGCTAGTCTGGTTTTCCCTTAACCTAACCATAACCATCTCCTCAAAGCAAGGTAAGGAAAGGCGGGTCCCCTTCACCCGAACCCAGGCGAGGTGGGAGGCAGCTGTCCCCCGGCCCTGCAACGTGCCTCCTCCGGCACTGGCCGTCCTGCCCCTTCAGGTGGGCCCTTGCCCCTTGGTGGGGACAGGTATTTAAAGGCGGGACTAAATATGGGAGACGGCGGCACCAAAATTACAGACAAGTCAAGCAACTTGCCCCCAAGGGCACCTCAAAGAGGCTCGGGAAGCGGTACTGGTCCTGAACCCCACCCTGTGGTCTCTGACCATCCTGGTCCTGAGGTCTACGTGGTCCCCAGGGCCATGCGCTCTCTCTGAAGCTTCTCCCTTTGAGCCTGGAGCCGCTAGTGGCTTAAGCATTCGTCATGCTCCAGATCAGTGCCCACTGTGGACTGTCAGCCTTGTGAGGCGGGCGCTGCCTCTGACTATTCACCATGGTACCCTCTCCAGGTCTCAGAGCCCAGCTCAGACTGGATGTTCGAGACTACCTGGAGCCCACGAACGGACACACGAGGAAGGCCACAGCTCCTGCGGCTGAGTACTGCAGGTGGGACGGCAGCTCAGGCGGTGGGACTTCTAGGGTCGCTGCAAGATGACCCACACTTCCCCCACCCCCCACCCCCAACAGCCAGGCAGGCGGAAGCACCGTGGAAGCACTGCCTCGTGGTTGGTACGTTTGCAGGTGGTCGCTCGAGAGCCCCGGCTGGCAGGGAGCGCTGGGCCACACTGCCTTCCTGCTGAGCTGGGTGGGCTCCACTCTGGGCTCCCTTTTCCCGCGAGGGCTGCTCCCTAACCCTGCAATCCACACGCCTCAGTATCTCTGCCTGGGGAGAACGGGTTCCCCGGGCTCAGGCTGGCTCTTGCCTGCCGGGAGGGCTGTGACGGGCGGCAGTGCGGGCAGCGTTCAGTATTCCCAGCACGACAGCCTCTCAAAGCGGCTGCTGGCCCTGCCTTCCTACGCGGAGGGGGATGGCTCAGAGCTGGCGGGACACAAACGAGGAGCGGACAGCTAAGGGAATCCTCTCTCCCCAAGACCCCGTGGCAGCACAAGCCCTTCTGCGGTCACCGGCTGTGCGGCAGTCACGGGACATCGCACGGTCCTCCCGCCCTACAGGCCTGCTTTCGGTGCAACATGGAATGAGGGCCTGAGAAACGGGCTAGTCTGCTCAGATCCAGAGTGTTTTCTGGAAAGGCTTGTCTTTGAATTCAGTTCGCAGGCACTCTTCCCTGACGTTCCCTTGAGGGACTCTGGGCAGACGCTGCAGGCATGCCCCGCTGTATCCAGGCAGGTGACGGAGGAAAGCCAGGGGAGGGGGCCCCTGAGCTCACTCCTAGCCCCCCGTTATTCACCCTGTCCCCTTTCACCACGAGAGGGCTGCCCCCCGGGCTCCTAGGCTGCAAGCCTGGCCACGGCCTGGGCCAAAGGACAGCTACTTGCCCTCGGGTTCAAATAGCGTAATTGGCTCAGCTCTAGGCTATGATTTCTCACCTGCAGACAGAGTGTGTGTGTCTATGGGCTTGACCCTCACTGACTGCTTATTAAGTGATGCAAGCAGTGCTAATACCTTTGTGGCTTGAACGTGTGGCAGACGATGGTTTAATAAGTTCTCTGAAGGACACAGCCCTGTTCCTGCCCAGGCTGCCCCCCCGGCAAGCAGCTGGAGGCTCTAATCGGACGCTGTGCGTGTGGCCATTCCTAGGGGTCAGCCTCACCCTCCCGAAACCGACTCTAGCTGCAGCCACAGCTACCGGGCTGCTCTTAGGCTCAAGATCTCTCTCTGAGGCTAGGTACCTTTGGTTTCAAAAACGGATTAGGTGGGGAGGACGAAGGCAGAGCCTTCGGTCTCTGAGAACTGCGGTCCGCGAGGGTCTCCATCTGGGGCCACGGGTGGCAGGGCACGTGTCGAGCGGCTGCTTCTGGTTCTGCTGTGATGCTCGCATAGGCCGCCCCGGTCTCCTTGAGACAGACGTTGCTGGAGGCTTCAAGGCTTGCAGGGAGGGGCTGGGAACCTGGGAACTGCAGGGCCGGAATCAGAGCTGCATAAGGCATACGAAGGGCGCGGAGTCCCCAGGCCAGGCTCTACAGCACTGTCAGCGCGGTGTTCCCACGGGCTCTCCTGATATGTAAATACCCCAAGGAAAGGACACACTGGTTCAGTCTCAGGGGCAGCCGGGCCCCATCCACACACCGTGTAAAACACCGGTTTCAGCATCGTACAGAATTGAGCGAGATGCTATCTGCTAGAGGCGAAAGGGGGAGCACCACCTGTCACCCCCAAACACACCAGCAAAGCTTTTGCGTCACGTGGTCCCATCTCTGTGAGGACAGCGGTGGAGATCCCCGACCAGGTGGCGGGGGGCGCCCTCTGCCCTCCACGCAGCGGGCCAGGTCCCCTCTCCCACATCCTGGGTTTCACTGATGGGGAGGAAGGATGTCGAAACCCAGTCCTTTTCTTCTCTCTGGAGGTGAGCCCAGCTCCCCAGGGACCGGACGCCCGATTTTCTTCTGCTTGAGGTACACGGTCACTGGAGTTGAAGTCTTTCCCATCAGCGCCCACTCCTGTTCCTCAAACTCCTTCTTCAGAGTCAGTGCGGTTCTTGTCTTGGACGCTCTGGAGGAAGGGGCAGGGTGAGAGCAAGGAGCAAGAGGTAAGCCCACCTCCCAAGTGACCCAGAGCGAGGCGAGGCGGCCTGCCCACTCTCTCCCTGCCAAAAATACTGTCATTTTCCAGAAAGGAGCCAAGCCCAGCTCAGCAACTGACAAGGCCAAGGCGAACGGGTTGGGGGCAAGGGGAGGCATATGGCGAGAAAGGCATCCTTCGGAAATACATTGGCCCAGTGGTGGTTTGAATACTACAGCTTTTCTGTCTGTTCTTTTACAGATCGATTCCTTCTGCCTCTCTGGGGGGGGGAGAATCCACTCATTCTTTCCTCATCCAGGGACATTTGTTCACCAGGAAAAGAAAATGGAGACGCTGGGTCTGGGGGGGGGGGGGGGGGGAGGCGGGGAAGATGCACAAAGCAAAAACAAAGACAACGCAAAGGGCCGTAACCAACAGAAACTGGTGAGTGTGTATGCCAAGGTCAAGGGCGGGCAGTGGGGGTGGAAGGCTCAAGGTGGCTGTGAAGCTGAGCAAAGGGCTGGGGTCCCTCCAGCTGAGCTTAGCCAGGACTCTAGCTCTCCCACATGGTGGCACCTCGGGGGTGCAGGGGGGGTCAGCGGGAGGGGGCTTGTGGTTGGCTGGGTGGTCACTGGTCCTCACAGCTTGGCAGACCCCCACGTGGTACCCTTGTCCCTGAAGGTGGTGGTGGCTGTGTGGCAGGTCTGTAGTGGCTTCATCTCCCCCTCTCCCCTCCTCCCACTTGCAAAGTAGTGGCTGTGCCCTGGGCGGAGGGGCTCCATCAGGCCAGAGAATAGATAGCGTTGACAGGTGACGTGGCCTCCGAACTTTCATTGCCCTCTGTCTCCTCCTTGTCCTTTTTGACCGTGTACTGGCCGATGAAGGAGCCGTCCTCATTGAACTGCCCCTCGCCACCCTCGCCATAGTCCACCAGGCTGTCGTCACTCTCCTGTTGCTTGATGGTGCCGTCCAGGGACGTCTGGCTGCCCTGCAGGGGCTTGTTGTCCTCGTCACTGGCCGGAGAGAGACAGAGAATCAGGGCCTGGCCCAGCCCGGTGCGGCTTAAACCCACGCGGGGCGGAACAGGGCCGCTGGCCTCTTGCCAAGCCTATGTACTACACAGCTCAGGGAGGGTAGGACCTCAGAGGTCACCAGTCAACTCCCCCCGGCCCTCCCCTGCCTGGCTGGTTGACAGAAGGGAGCCCGAGGCCTGGAGACGACAGGCGTCTTCCCCAAGCTGAGGCGACAAGTTGGTGCAGAGCTGGGCCTGGAGCCCACACTTCCTTTCTTTCTTTCTTTCTTTCTTTCTTTCTTTCTTTCTTTCTTTCTTTCTTTTGCCGGGGATTATGATTTTAATTTTTTTTTCAATTTTTTTTTCAACGTTTATTTATTTTTGGGACAGAGAGAGACAGAGCATGAACGGGGGAGGGGCAGAGAGAGAGGGAGACACAGAATCGGAAACAGGCTTCAGGCTCTGAGCCATCAGCCCAGAGCC